CCCCGCCTCACCTCACCCCCGCCTCGCCCCGAGCTCTCACGCACACGACCCGGGGACAGCACCAGGATGTGCGCGACACTCGCTTTTCAGAAAACCTGGGCTCTGGTAAGGCATCTGTATGCAGACAGTGCTGTCACCCTGCAAATAAATTTATTTGTTTTCCAGTCGAATTCACCTGCTCTGGCTGTTTCGCCCCGTGCAGTTAGACTGACCCGCCACGCATGCGTGCGTGCGGGTTGCATAGCGAAGCTCTGTCAAGTCTGACCAGGGCGCCTGAGTGAGTGGGCAACCCGCCCGTACTCGTGCATGCGTTGCAGTCTAACTTGGTAAATGATCGAGTCAACTGCCCGGCGCTTCACGATTTTATGGCAACTTCGTTGCGGATAGTTTATTAAAGGAAGATCGACTACAAAACTGCGTGTGCTGTGCTTAGATCAATACCAATGGAACCGCCCAGACAACAAAAATGAAATTTAAAATCATATCAATAAGATGAAAGCAGGCGAGGCAGCAGGTTTTGCTTCCGCTACGAATTCCTCGGTGTGCATTTTTTCCGGTGGTTACTGGAGGCTCCAGTAGGCGCGCGCGGCTCTCTGCGGTGTTGTTGCTCCTGCCGCCGCGCCAGGCCCGGCCGGGCTGGCTCCAGCTGAGGTGATTGTCCTTCCAGTAGCCCTCCCCCCTCCCCCGCCGCTCCAGCTGGGCAGGCTGCGCTAGTGGCTGCGCTCGCCGCGGCGGGTACCCGTGTACCCCGGGGGGCTCAGCCTGGCCGGCGCCCGCTGCTGGAGGCCGTATAGGCGGCTGGAGCGCCCGGCTGGAGGGGGGCCCTGTGCAGTGCAATATGGAGCCTCGTATGGAGCAGAGCTGTGGTTGGTGACATAGTGTGCACTGGAAATCAGGAGTGGGTACCCATCAGCTTGGCGACTTTAGTTGTCCGACCCAGTAAGCTAGGATTCTACCGAATCTTAGGTCGGGCAACTGAAGGCGCCCTGCTGCTGAGCACCTCAGATGTACAGATAACGTGCCAGGACGGAGTGTACCTGAGGTCCGCCGTGCTATCGTTGCCCCGCAGCAGGTGTGCAGTTTGGTTGGTGACGTACTGTAGGTGCCGGGCCAGAGTGTACCTGACAAGGGAAGGTTTTTAGGTGTTACACACCAATTTCGGTGGGCGCGATACATATTGCAGGGGACATATGTAGATTAAGATTGGCACCGGTTTTAGCTGCCCATACTATGTTTTTCGTTTGTTTTGGACGATTTTTAGTAAGAAAACATCATAAAAGCAGCAAAAATGTGATCTTCAAATGCCTATATCTCCGGAACCGTTTGAGCTACACCGCCCAGATTTTGCACAGAAGGAGGCCGAATTAGTAGCTAAATTATCGTGAAGTATAATTTTTTTTCGAAAAACATCGAAGAAAATGTCACAAACGATGTGCACCTTCCTTACTTGGATTTCGACTTTGTTTTCGGACCATTTCAACAATTTTTTTCGACTCTTCTCATATTTTTGGACGGTCAAGGTATCTATGCGGACTACCTCTCTGCAAAATCTGGACGGTGTAGCTCAAACGGTTCCGGAGATATAGGCATTTGAAGATCACATTTTTGCTGGTTTTCTGGTGTTTTCCTACTAGAAATTGTCCATAACAAACGAAAAACATAGTATGGGCAGCTAAAACCGGTGCCAATCTTAATCTACATATGTCCCCTGCAATATGTATCGCGCCCAGCGAAATTGGTGTGTAACACCTAAAAACCTTCCCTTGTGAGGTCAGCTGTGCTGCCATTACCCGGCAG